AAAGGGTGCATACCGGGGAAGGAACGATATCATATCTAGACAGATGTTTCCGCAGACAGAATCAAAATTTAAAAGGAAACAATCAATTGACGAACTTGCAATTTTCGATTTGTCATCCCGACTTCATTTAGATAATTTCAGATACCAAAGATTTCGACGTCAGCCGCAGTATTGTTTTAAGGCTTTGGAAATCATTTCAAACAATTGGAATGTGAAGCAGACGTCACGGGGGTGTCGTGTTCCATGTACGATGCCTGCAGAAGACAGGCACATAGTGCTATCTGCAAAAAAGAAACGGCGCGGTACAGTCAGTTAGGTAGCAAATCAGCTTCAAGCTGCTACTGGCAAGCGAATCTCCCAAAAAACTGTAGCCAGACGCTTGCAAGCAGGAGGATTACACCCCCACCGGCCTGTGGTGTGCGTACCATTGTCCAGACGTTACCGTTGCCCCCATTTGTAATGGTGTCTGAACTTACATACTATTCTCAGGTGAGAGTAGATGATCTGAAGTGAGATTGGTACTACGTATAGTCGAGTACACATACATAAAATGTATCCAGCATGAAGTATCATGGTATGAGCTGGCATTATGATTAATGACCCCTCTATGCGCTTCCAACTGGGACTATGATTGGCCAACGCTAGATGAATGTTATTCTGCTGCCTAATGTTCGTTTGTTTCGAGGTGCTGTCGATGATAAATTTGTTTTCATGGACAACAACGCAACATGTCACATCGCACAGTCGCTGGTCGAGGAGCGCGTACAGAGCGAGAATATTCAACTCCTCGTATAGCCAGTAGGTTCTCCAGATCTGAACCCCATTCAAAATATGTGGGATTCTTTGAAAAGGAGTGTTACTTGTCCATAATTCCCTGAAATAAACAAGAACCCCCTCATCCATACACTGACAGAGGAATGGGACAAATCGCTCCAACGGCTGCTAAATTGTGTAGTGCAGAGCATGCCACGACGTCTGGAAAATTGCATCGCTCTCCGTAAGTGGTCATACCCTCTATTGACATCTTATTCCGGGATGCCTACAAGTGGCATTTCAATTTTTCCTTTTCACTTATTCAGTACTAAACGATTATTTTGTGTCTTGAACACATTTCAAATCTTCCAGGTTTCAGAGAACAGTAAGTTATCTTTTTTTTTAATGTCCTAACACTCTGGTACTCTTTCAATTTTTTTATTTGGCCTTTAACCATGATTAATTTATTACTTGCTATGCGACCATTTGTGGTCCGCCTTTAGAAATTATCCAGAAGTGTATTTACTGAGACCAAACACCGTTTACCAAACCCTTTTTCAAATCTTCATGTTACACCGACTGGACATTAACATCTTATATAAAACATGCTAAAAATCAACGAAATTTCCTTTTCGTGTTGTTAACAAAAAAAAATTAAATATCAAGCAACATTTAATTTTGATATTCAAGTGACTGAGCAATCATACGCATGAGCGCTTAATCATGCCTACATTTTTTCAAATATCAGAGGGAAAATACCGCTCTCGCGTGGGAAGCGAAAATCTGAAACAAACTGAACTAAAAGTTGAACAAAAATGAAAGATTAAAAGCTAATAGTTCATATCAGTTAGCAAACTGTTCCATAGTTTGGGTTTAATTTTACTTATCAATTTTCTCAGTTTTAACAACATTGAATTTCGAGCTATTAGGAGGCTCCAAAACCTGCTCGCTTTGTTGACCAACTCATGTGGTTACCTCTTATTCATCACTGAAAACCAAGCCACGGTCTAATTTTATTTTTTTAAAAACTTAGATTGGATTGCACTCTCTTGCATTAGGGGGAGTACTAAATTTTAGCCACCCAATAACACAGAAAAATGGGTCCCTCCCGAGAGTTATTACTCGGCGAAGATGGGCCGGACTGTGAAAAAGCAGTTGCTGCTTGTGCGCAGATTTTTTCCGAATTTGCTTTCATAAACATAAACCGTTCTTCCCTCTTGAACTTCCCAAAAGTTTTTTTTTCATAAATTGACTAAAAAAAGATCATTTTGTTCTTAAATTATGTAATAATTATACTCATATGTCAGCACATTTTATATCTATATTAATTGTTACGAAATAAAAGAATAGCTGATTTTGAAAGAAAATAAAATGAACTGTGGGAAAAAATTAAACTCAAGAGCACAGAATGTGCGGCACAATACGAAGTAAAAAATGAGAAGTTATTTTACTTGTAAATAATAACGATAGCCTTATATGCTATAACAGTTGGCATAGTTCCTATCTTCTTCCTCAATTTTTAAGAATTTCGATATAAATGTTTAAGATTTATATTTGCAACTTCTAATCGCTCTCTCATTTTTTTAATTTATTCATTATTTGTCACTTTTGACATAAGTCAAACGCGAGTTTATAAAATAAAAATCACTAGAAATATACATTTTTCTACTGAAATAAATAAAACATTAGTACTTAAAATAAAAAAAAATGCTTAAAATTGCATTAACTTTCGAACAAATACGATTTTCGAAAAAAAAAACTCTTTAATTTTGCATTTCAAAATGATCCTATAAACACGTCCAATTTCAACTCTGTTTTTTCTTTAAACGGACAGTAGATCGAGCAATATAGTTTTTTTTTATTAAAAATTTAACAGTTGAAATTTCTCGAACTAATATTTGAATCGCAATTTTTGTTTACTCGTTGTACATTTTTCTAAACACCTTCGTAATTTCAAGTTAAGCCTCCATTCTGAGCAGCAAAGCAAAATGAGATACATTTCGTAGAAAAGCAATCGAAATTGAAATAATTCACAAGCAAACGGGAATTTCGAGCAAAAAACTCATAAACTAAGCAAATAAGGCTAAAATGGCCTTTTTAGCAGGTCAAATTCCAGCACTGTGCATGCATTCCTGTGGTTTGGAGAGTGGTACGCATGGTATTTTTTCTTATAATTTTAACAGTTAATAGTTCTCGGACATATCGAATATTATTTCGATTTATCATATTATTAAAAAAAGAAAACTGTGTTAAGTTCATAAATTAAAATGGCCTTTTCAGCATGACAAATTCCAGCATTGTGCTTGCATTCTTGCGGTCTGTAGAGCGGACCGTATGGTATTTTTTCTTACAAATTTAACAGTTAATAATTCTCGAGCTAATTATTTAGTTTTTTTTACTCCATCGCAATCCTTATATACTTTTCAACATATCTTAGCAATTTCAAGTTTCTAAGTCTGATAGTTTCAGCGCAACGGATCAAAATGTAATGTAAAGTTGGACATCCAAAACCAATCAACGAAGAGACTTAATATAGAGAGAACATCTGAAACATTCATAACTATATTATTAATTTTAACTTTATATAAATTTATATAATAAATTTATTTAATAATTTTTTTATTTATAATCTCGACTTTTTTTATTAAAAAAAAGTTCCATAATTAAAACTTTGACAACTTCTGATGGTTTTATTATTAAAAAAAAGTAACCTTTCATAAGTTTAAACTCCACCCTCCCTCTCCCGAGAGGGCGGTAACTTGCTTTTAGGGAAAAAAAAACCTTTTTATTACTACACGAACTATATTTAAGTTTAAAGAATATTTCATAGTAAAGAATATTTCATAATTCATAGAGAGAAGTGCGTTTGATGTACGAAAATCGATCAGCTATTTCATTTTAAATTCTTCCTTTGATTTTTATTCATTTTGCGAGTGTCATATTTGAAAGAATGTGTTATGAGTTTATTTTAAAATAACTGTGCCTCCAAACACTTGAATTTACAATTTTGTACTTATAAATTGAATACATAAAAAGTTTGATGCGATGTATTTATAATTATGAAGCTAATAAAATTACCTTATATGTGACATCCTATAGGCTATGTTGATGGGCGCTCTGTTAGCGAAGTCGACAGAGGCGCAGCTCACATCACCAGAGGTTGTGAGTTCGACCCAGGCCTCCGATTAAACAACCGTGGCTTGATCCGTGGTGACTCAGGGGATAGAGCGTTCGCTTTCTGGTGACGTCGAATTGCAGCGATGGCTGGTCGATACGAATTGAGCACACGGCTCGAACCGACCACAGTGCTGGCGTAAAACATCCTCAGTGGTAGACGGATCGTGGGTTAGAGCCTCCTATCCATCAAGTGAGCCGTAGGGGTTTTATGCAGTTTTCTTCGACATGTGATGCAATTGCAAGTTAGTTCCATGGAAAAAGTCCTCCATGAAGGCAAATTTCTCCCCATACTTGATCCAGGAGGCTCTCTTGACTTCTGGATTGGGTTGAAAATTACGAGGCTGCGGAGTTAGGCAAAGGAATTACAAGGCTAACATTAATAGTCGTAAAACCAAAAATTAGGTCGGCTTTTCAACGACAGTTTTGAAACAAAAAACAAAAAAAAAACATGGCTTGCATCCGCAGCAACGTACACGTAAGACCTACAATGGCTGTAGCCCATCTCGTTGGTTTCTGCTGTGAAAGTTTGGAGAGAGAAGTAGAAGATCAGATGTTGTGCGAATGGTCTGTCCGAGATCTAAATGACATGATATTCCTGGCTGTTAAGAGACCTGGAAAGGTGCTGTGTGCGACACAGATTGATTTTGGCCTTGCCTCTGTTAAAGCGATTCTAGAAAAATTCACAAAATCTTAATTCTAAAAAAAACTTTTCATTTTGTAAACATTTTTATCGATGTACATGTTAATTTACATGTCTTTTTTTAATGAACTGCATATTTAATTGTTTTTGTTCATTCTTTTTTTACAGAAATTGTATTTGAAACATTACAAGGACAAAGCCGAAGACGATCTCCGAAGAGGAAACTTGGAAAAAATAGTCAACGAGATATCGCATCATAACTTATTGGCAGATTTAGGAATGACTAAATTTACTAGAGGCCTCAATAAATACTCTGACTTGGTAAATATTCTTTTAAATACTTCATTAGAATTCCCTCATTTCTACTTTTTGCCATTAGTCTTTCCATCATTCCGTCCATCATCATTTTTTTTTTTACTTCTTTTCATTTTCCCTTATGTTCTTCATTTCTTCTTTACTTCTTGCCTTTTCTAACGAACTTTGTCCATTATTTTATTCCTCCATTATTCTTTTCCTCCATTCATCTTTTCTTCCGTCTCCTTGCTTCCTTTCATACCCCTTCATTTTCCTCTTTCCTGCCTTACTTCCTGCTTTTTTTAATAAACTTTTACTATATCTTGCTTACTTTATTCATTCATTCAATTATTCTTACATTCTTCCATATTTCTGTTTACTCCTCCTTCATTTCTTCGCTCCATCTTCTCTTCCTTCTAATTCGTTTCCTTGCTTCTTTTTTTTTTTTTTTTTAACTACGTCATATTTCTCTCTCTTTTCTTATTTCCTGCCTTTTCTAATGCACTCTTTCTTTCTTCCTTACTTCATTCATCCATTTATTTGTTATTTCTACCACCATCCATTCCCTCCATTCAAATTTTCAGAGCATTATTAAATTTAATAATAAAATTATTATATAACATGACATATGAAAATAAATATATAACAAATATATAAAAATATATATAATCATAAATATAAAATAAAATTTTATTAAATATATAGCGTGATTGATGATTCTCGGGGAGAAATTTTAAAAAGATAAAGTGTTTATAACAGTGATTTCTAGATTTTTTTCGCCCAACTCTAAGTACCTACAGTCTCATTCAGCATTAATTGTATTCTATTAATAAAATAAAAAAAAATTTTATGGCGATAGTATAGCGATTTTATTCATTTTCAAAAATTTCAAATTGTGCTGTTAGGAGGCGCATAGCTGGTGTGACTAGTTAAATTCTCGTCTTCCAGTGTTTCGATTCCTTCAATTCCCCGTGCTTAAGGCTAAAACACTTATCGTATTGTATTATCTCCGATCAAGCCTTAGTAGAACCACTACTGTAATGCCATGGTTTCAAGGCCGGTAAAGTACCAGCAAGTGAGTAGTGTGGTACGGAGATCGGGTTACAACTACCAGCCTCTGCCTTCCGATGAAAGCTGGAGTAACGTAAGGCATGCATCAGCATTTACTTCGGATCTTATTAAGGATGAATTCCAAACCATCACCAATAGCTCTAAATGTGGCTAATGGCCTATATTCACAGATGTCTCAAAAATGCGAAAAGAGAAACAGATTAAAATTGAAATGTATGTTTTACTCCATTCGTATGAGGAAACTTGAAAATTTATTCTTCCCAAGTTTCAAAACTAATAACAATGCTTTTCGATAGATGGCGCTGCTGACTGCTATACTCTATAATATTTTCTTCCGCATGACAGACTATTTCAAAGTAAATATTTATTAAGTCGTAAATTATCAGTACACCATAGTGTTGCTGCAATAAGGGGCGGCTATGTTTTACAGTTTTTCGTGGTTAACAGCCTCACATGTTAATCATTTTTTAATTATTTTTGTCACTTGTTGCCAAACTCTTCAGGCTACCTTAGAGGAACGCAACAGACCTTTTATCTCTTTCCGCTTTCCTTTAATTGAATTTTTAAATCATCGGTCATTTTGTGTTACCCCATCAAGCACTATTTATTACGATTTATTGATTGGGTTTATTTTTTTTTTCAGACCAAAGAAGAGTTCCAGAAATATTTAACTGGTTACAGACCAGAAATTGATACAAAACAGAATAAAACACATCAGAGGTCAAAGAGAGCTAATACATCGTTGCCAAAGAATATTGATTGGGTAAAAAAGGGAGCTGTCACACCTGTACCGGATCAGGTAAGCGTAAATGTTTAATACCAAGCTCCATGTATCGTTTAAGGCCGTGATAGCCTGGTCGGTAGGGCACTGGGCCCATGTCCGAGTGTTCGTGGGTTCGAACCCCACCGGTCGAAGACTCCCCGCGTAGTAAAGTGAATGATGCACGTTAAATCTGTCGAGTCGCAAAAGTCCTCCATAACAAATCAAAACCTCTGGGAGTACTGGATTGGAGATCGATCGTTCTCTGATTCAGGTCAAAATTACGATCTCTGGATGAATGAATGGGTGTATGAATGGGTTCGCCCTATAAGCGGGTGCGACGCATCGTGTGGCAGAAGTCAAATTCTTGGCCATAGATGGCTCCACTGGAAAACAAGAGCAATCGCACCCCCTCTGCCTAAACAGTCAACAATGTATCGATTCTTGTTGTGATGGCCTCTAATGAGCACAGTTCTATAGAGAAATACAGAGATAGTTTTATAGAACGACGATTATAGCCACTTTGATATTTAAAACCATTTGCACTCAATGTCTCAGATAATTGTTCCTAGATGGCGCTTGAGTTGTATGGCAGCAGAAGTTTTAGGAATCATACCCACTGCATGTGAATCACTCACTTACTATTGTCGAGGGTACTGAGAACTGATTTGTGAGTTTTCGCAGGAGAATATCTTTCACTCATCAGGTTCTCATTCTCCCTCGGCAGTGATAGGAAATACGCAGATATCATGAATTATATTTACTTAATATATTTTCATTTTCAATGAAATAAAAAAAATAATCGTGTTTAATTTTTTTCATAACTGTTACATCTCAAAAAAAAATATTAAACCTGCTTTTCTATCAATAAAATCAATAAGGGCATCTTCGGATAATTATTTTTTGTTTTTCTTAGTTCTGCATGGAGTATTCTTTTAATTTCATTCTAATCGACGAGTGGAACAAAGAGGACCACATCTTCATAAATCACAACGAAGCGATATTATATTAAATAATCATATGAAATATTTAATTTTACATAAAGGGTTTAAACTAGAGTAGTATAATAATTATTTAAAAGGTCAAAGTGGAAAAAAAAATTTTAATCGTTTTATTTCTTTTACTTTTTTTTCTACTAATAACGTTTCATTTCATTTTTTTCTTGTTTGAAAATAGTTTTAACATAATTTTATTTTATTTAGTGCATTAAGCTATTGATATTTAAATTACAGTAATAATATAGTGTTTTAAGAAAAATAATTTTAATAAATAGTACTCATAATAATCAAATTTATGAATTTTCGTTCATTAACTTCATATTTTGTTACTTAACTTGTTTTATAAACAAATTCAAACTGTAGTTATCATGAAAATATTTTTTAAAAAATTTTTTTCGGCATCTTGCACAGATTGCTAACATGAACAACGGTTTTAAAATTAATCTACCAAAAGCATTCTGCGTTAACATTCGAAAAGATTTCTCAATCTTTTCTAAATTTAGAAGCATGCTAGCCCTATTTTATATCTTTTTAGAAAATTGGCTTTAGGAATTGACGACCCACTCTTGTTTTTATTTTATAGTTTTGATGAGAATTTATGCTTCGATTTTGCTCAATAAATTATGCGAAATTCTGTAAACACCTCACTGAATTTTTTTTCCTTTCCACTTTTTAATTATTATATCTCCCCTATTTTGAATTGGCCGTTCATGCGTCATTTCATCGTTAGTTTTATGCATTCAAATCAAGTTAATTTTATGTTATCTGATAATTTCTGTTGAAAATTTTTAATTCAAACATCTGTTGTTGTTTCGTTGCTGTTTCTAATCCCTAAGAAATCCATCCTAATTAGACCAATTCCATAAGTCCAAAAATGTCAAGAAAGTCTGAAAACAGATGAGGTTCTGAAAAAACCTCGTCGATCTGAACTAGACTCATGGTACAGGGGAAAGTGTTCTGTTGGCCTAAAGTGACCTGGAGCACCAAAGGTAGAAGACTGATTTAGCTCCATAGTTTCACCTGCTAGCATTAGCTGGGCATAATGGAATGGCCTTCACGCCTAGGGTGGCCCTACCAGGAGCTAAGCTCCCGACGTACTTCGCCCATTCCGCCCAGTGGCACCCCCTCGCCCCGGTGAGGCAGCTAGCAGGATTTGAGGGGGATTCAAACATCTGTTTTATCGTAATTCGGTGATTTGGTAACTAACTCAGTAAATTACGATAAAGCAGCTATTTCTGATCCTATTTCAATGCAATTTAAAACAATAATTATTCAAAGCCTTCAAATTACCATAATTTAGATTAATTAGTGGTTGAAATGCGCATGGAAAGTCATTCCGTAATAAGGATATATAATATTTCTCATATAATATCTATACATAATAATAAACGCGGCTGTCTGTCTGTCTGTCTGTAATCACAATATATCGCCCCCAGAAGCCTCGCCCAGGCACGAAACTCGGCACATAATTGTGTTTTGACATAATGAAGAAGTATTTTTTTTCTTTTTCAAAAATTTGGATTAGTTTTTTTAGTTATCAATCATTTTGTAAGAAAATCTATGCCTTTTCGTCTTCAAAGAACCATACTCAAAAAACTATTAAAAAAATGCATATACTTTTCTCCACTCTTATAAATGTATGCTAATGCGAACCTTACAATTGGAATATTAATTTTCGACAACTTAAACCAATAATATACGAAGGAATTAATAACTTAATTGGGTATACTATAGCCTACGTCACGGATCGTGTTATTCCTACTAAATTTAACTAGTAAACAGCATTTTCTGCGAACCTCATTTCTAGCAACAAGTAAAAGCATCAAACGAAGTGTCTTGTTATAAGTCGCTACTCGCCAGGTTGGAATTGTATTAGTCTAGTTCCTTTGGAAATAATTTACATTGTTGTTTTACCGAAGTTTATGAATTTAGTAAACATATTTAAAACTCAGTTTATTAATTAAATTAAAAGGTAAATGTTATTCCTAGTAAGTGGAAGTAGTTGTGCTTTTTTCATATTATACCCAATTGTAATTTTCGCATTAGTTTACATTTATCAAAGTGGAGAAAAGTTTAACTTTTGTATTAAAAATGTGGCAACATATTCGATACGCAAATAGAACGCTTCGCTTTCATATATTTGTCGCTGTTCATAATTGTTATAATAAGTTTTTCTTCTTCTTTCCACGCTCTATTTTTTTTTCTTAAGTTTTATTTTATTGCTGTTTCTTAAATATGTTATTAACTGCGCTTTAATTTTCAGCTATTGGCCAATGATGATTTCGAAAGCAACTTTTGTGTTCTTTTACAATTTCTGATGCCTTTTTTTTTAAAAAAAAAAAGCAAGTCTCCACCTAATAGTTATATTATAGGTTAGGTTACCATAGGCCTTAGGTTACCATAGCAAAGTTACATCTTCAAACATCCTCAAGAGCTATAACACATCTGCAGCAGAACTGGATATGAAGACAAAATTGCAGGACAGGAACACTTTAATTGTCCACTAATCTTCAGATTTCCTGCTATGTTTTAAAAAACTTTATTTGTGAAAACCATTAGCGTGGCGGACAGCTGGCCGCCTTAGGCGGCTAGTTAATAATATTTCTCAATGTAAATAGTAAAAATTTCTAAATTACAACAGATAGCTCTCAGCGCAGCAATGTAAAAGGATTAATTGTATTCAGTTTTCTCTATGGCACTGTAAAATGAACATCATTCTTTGTTTTTGCTATTAAATATATTGTGTTAAAGGCGTTTGTAATAATTTAAAATCCCGAGAGCATCGTATTTTAACAGCCACTTTGACTCTAAAATCACTGTTCTTATATCACTCATAATATAATTTCATTCATCTCCATTAGGGTCATTGTGCCAGTTGCTGGGCTTTCGTTGCTCTGGGATCGCTGGAGGCTCAACAGTATTTCAAAACTGGAACTCTCAAAAGTCTCAGCGTTCAAAATATCATTGACTGTGCTACAGAAAAGGGTAAGAAGAGATCATTAACAGTGATGTTCAAAATGAATTCAATACAGTAGGGGGGGGATTCATTTGGGACGTTCTTAAATGAGTCGCCGCATTATCAAAGATTTTTAATTTTTGATTAAGGAGAAATGTGTTGCTATAATATTCATTTCTTTAAAAAAATTAATTCGATTTTTTTAAAGTTAAGTCATCGATACAGAATATCCCCTTAATTCAAGACCCATATTTTCTTCTAAAACAAATGCCTAATTATAGAAAATGCCAATAATTTACAATTCAGAATCGCTTACAACGCCATCTGAAGGAAAGCTGCAGAGATAAGTGTTCGTTTCTCGAAAATGATACGAAATAGGGGGGAAAAGTTATTGGCGATCGAAATGAACTACAGATGGCGCAAAGCAGAACTCTCTACCTATGGCAACACTTCGTATGGTATCACCATGAGCGTGTAGTCATTGGAGAATGATGTACGTCAGATTCTGTCTCAATTTTCAAACTTTTAAAGTTTTGATGCTGTATGGAACTCAAAATTGCATTAAGCATAGTTCGGAAAGAAAGCTGTGGGGAAATTTTGGAAAATATTTTTGAGAGTTAAGTATGAAAAATAATATGGTAAGACAAAATTTTGAAGTACATTCGCAAGCAGAGAGAAATGTCAAGATATAGGACCGGTCTTCTGTATTCAAGTCTTGCGATCACGAATATCGCTTGAGTACGAACACACACCTAGCGAGCATTAATGCTAAGAAGGAAAGAAAAAATGTTCACAGCGTGTATTCGTTGGTTCGGGATTTCATATACTGTGAATCTTTGAAAACAAACACTTTATATAAACTACTAAATACAAAACACCTTTATTTTCAAATTTCTCTTTAGCTTTGCAACCAGGCAACCATTATTATACCTATGTATGCTAAACTGAATAAAGTTAAATGCAGGTGGAGCTATTTGTAAGACAATCAATGAGGCTTCTCGGTTACTTTCTCCAAATAATTTTCACGCTAAAACCCGGAGTTTTTTTTTTTTCTTCAAATTTTCAAGAATTGTATTGAGAATTTATTCCATCGCCGACTTTGGTATTTCTTACCAATTTTTTTGTTTAATATTTAGAATGATATTGAAGAGAAGAGGAAATAATCTATTAAATTTTGAACAAATAAATAGTCAATATGGCCGATAACACTCTAAATACACCAATTCACTCATTTCAATATTTTTAATTCACGATAAACACTGCGCTCTGTTCAAAAACGTATCATACCAAAATCTTATGAGTGGCGATGGCGAAAGAAAATTTAATCCGTTACTGTTGTTACCAATGCCACTGTCGTCCAATGCCAGCCCTCCTGCTTGAAATCAAGCGAAATTATAAGGCAGAGAGTGCTTTTCTTGTTTTTTTTAGTGACCAATAATATGACTTCAGTCACACACAGGTAACAGCCCGTTTCACAAGGTGGACTGAGATGGCACCCTTAGCATTTTTTTTCATTCATCCACAAATCGAAGTTTTGACATGAACCACTAAACGATTTATCTCCAATTCAGAATTCCAGAAGTATTTATTTGTTATGGAAACTTAAGGGCTTTATGAGCCCTAAAGACTTCGGCCGGTGGGATTTGAACTCCCGTTCTCCCGAACACGAGTCCAACGTCCTACCAACCAGGATATCCCGGCCCCTAAATTTAATTATAATCATAATAATGAAACTCCTTACGTTAAACGAGCCGGTTCAGCCTTAAAAATCCAATCCAATATCGCTGGATAAATACGCTAGAACTTTTTTAAGGTCCGTTTCGGTGCTAGAAAACTTGTCGTTTGCATTCAGTAAATCGTCCATGGCTGCAGGTCACTCGAAATTTACGGGACTGTTCACGATTCATACAAAAAAACAATTGCTGAGGTGACTTTGGAGATGCGAATGGGCTCACGATTGGTGACTCGAAATCAAAGTTTTTGTTTACCTCTCTGAATCAGCGTGAGTGATTTTATCACATGCAGTGAGAATGGACCAATGGACTCGAGTGGACTCCCAATAACACATAAATCTGCACCAATCTTTATCATGGATCACATGCAGGGTGAGTAAATGCAGTGATTTTAAACTTGGAGAGAAGATAGAGTGCATCATAATGATTGATAATTGCATAGAAACCCATGGCCATAAACGTCATTGTACGCCACTAAGGGTGCTCTCCTATTATGGAGCGTCTATTCATGTGTATCTAATGTTATTTTTATCCTATTATGGAGCGTCTATTCATGTGTATCTAATGTTATTTTTCTAAATTATCTTAATTTAGGTTGTTTTGATAAAAATTACATAGAAATAATCTCAAAAATAGCTCTTATATCGTAATTTAATAATTTTGAGGCCGATTTGGCGAGTAGTTTATGTTGGAGAACTTGATTAAAGTGAAGCCATCTTAGAGTTAAGTTGACCATTTTGCTTCTAAGCCTATTTAAATGCAATTTTCGACAATAATTACTTTAAAGCATAAAACTATGAGAAGTATTTTATATAAATAAAAGTTCAAAGGCTCTTGAATAGGAAGTTTATTGTCTCTAGCGGTAAACAATGACACTTTTGGATTGCTTAGCAATTCTGAAGCTCTGCTCCAAATACTCATCCAAGCTTGTTATCTCCTTGGAGTGCTGAACCGAGTACTCATGTTTAACATGCTTGCTTTAATATGCTATTCAATACATTTATATTTTAACAGATTATGTACGTAATTATTTTTAAACAAACTCTAATCAATTTTCGGTACATTGTTTCAAAAAATACATAGCCGAATCGATTGATAAAATTTTTACAATTCCAGCTAATTAAAAAAAAAAAAATTCAAAAGTTAATTGAAAAAATATGGGAATACTGTAGCATTTTCATCAATTTCTGAAAAAAAATGTAAAAAAAATTATTTTTTGAAATTTTAAGATAAAAGTTTCTAAAACTGTTTTCTAATACATATTTAGGTCATGGTTGTGATGCAGGATTAATGATTACAGCGTATAAATATGCAAAGAAAAATGGCGTCGATACACGTGATGTTTATCCTTATAAAGAAAAGGTAAATATTTATTTAATAGGGGTTCACTTGGAAAAGCAAATCATAGTTAAAAACGTAGCATTTAAGTAAATTTACAAATGTAAAGTGCGCGAAATAAAAAACGGACCACCCTGAATAATTTTTAATCTACTGATCGGATCTTCCCGTTCTAGGACTTAATCTAAATGGCTCGAAGAGGCGACCTCAAATATTCTAATTAATTAGTGCTGACGATATTTTAAGTAACGAAATCAGACGTAGATACGTACTTTCTCTGGATAAACATACCTTTTTTTTTAGATGGATTCGGATATCTGACCCCCAAAATATAGGGGGCAGTCCCAATCTGGGAAATATGTTCCCCAAAGTTTGGATCTCCTAAGATTAATTTTATTTTTTGCGAATTTCGAAATATCTCGAAAACTTTTTAAGCGAATTAAAAAAAAATTGCAGACAACTATAAAATTCGTTTGGATGGAGATAATGGCAAGCAAAAATCAAATTTTTGTAAGTATTTATTAATTTTTATAATTTTATTTAGTAATAATCGAAAAAAAAATTTGAGTTGTAAGGTATAAAATTTTTTGCATCCTATTAAAGTTTATAATTTTATATGTCGAAATACAAAATTTGAGCTACAGTGGTCAAATAGTTATTGAAAAATCAAATTTTTAAAAAGTCGTATATTTAAAATTCGATTTCTCAAGAGGCATCCAACAGATTTCAGTCAAATTTTATATTTTACCATTTAAAATTACGCACTTTAAGATTATGCAAAAAAAAAAAAAACAATACCTTACCATTCAAAATTTTCTTCAATCTAAATAAAATAATAAAAAATAATAAATATTTACTAAAATTTATTTTTTGCATGAAATTATATTTGAACAAATGGATTTTATAGTTTTTCAATTAGATTAAAAAGATCTCGAGATTTAGAAAAAAATCAAATTAATATTAAAAGGGTCCAAACTTGTTATCCTTCTCCTGAGCAAACTAAACTGAGCTAACATCAGCCTGAGGAAATATTAGGGAGAGTAATTACGCATGCGCACTTCGAGTACGCGTGCGTCAGTCCTGATAAGATGCGCATGCTCCCGGAAAAAATATCATACTTATGTAAGTGAAAATAATACTGAAAGAAAACACAAATAATTAAATTCGAAAAGGATAACTTCTTTGAAAAAAACGCGCTAAGAAGCAGCAGAAATTTCATAAAAAGTATCAATACAGGAAACGAAAGAAATAAAAACAAAAACATGACCACCGAAGCCGACGTCTTCAGGGGATACCGGCCCCGGTTGACCACCGAAGCCGACGTCTTCAGGGGGTACCGGCTCCAGTTTTTAATGGCTACCGGGGCCGGTAGGCCGGTACCCCCTGAAGACGTCGGCTTCGGTGGTCATGTTTTTGTTTTATTTCTTTCGTTTCCTGTAAGTGAAAATAAGAGATTTTGCAAAAAAAACGCAAGTTAAAAACGCTAACATAGTGGAATATCATTTTAACTTACAAAATAATATAATCAAAAATAATCACAAAATCAGAACAAACATTTACAATAGATGTAGACTACTTTTTTAAAGATGCGATTCATGCTTTGCTTTACGTGAAACTGTGACTCTGTGAACAGAAAAATTGGGTAGATTTTGATGAATTCCGCCATAAAGAATGCAACTTCTTCCTTTTCTGCTTAGTATTATTAAAAAAAATATTATAGAACTTCTATTGATTATTTAATTTCTTTGAACTAAATTATATAGTTGAAATAAATATAAATTATAATTTTGAAATAGCTAAAGTATATCTAGTTTCTTATGGAACTAAGACAATTAAACAATCATAATGTTAAACAAAAACCAATAAAAATATTTTTTTATTGAATGAATCAATGGTTGAAAGATCACACGATTCATTTCTGAATTTCATCAAATTCGCATTTCGTGTCCATATTTTTTAGTTCGAAGGTAGACTTAAACAAAAAACAGCATTTAACAGCTATAAACGGCGTTGTAGTTTTATCTTTGTAGAGTAAATCCCACCAATATAACATAAGTATAAAAACGAGGATCACGGGAGAGAACATGGAAGTTGACGTAAAAGTGCCAAATCTCCCTTTATTCAAAACAGAGTAACTTTGTTAATCTTTCAACTACTGTTGACTGCCACGTTGCCACCAAGTTCTTCTATAAAATATTTAGGATTGTTTTACAGTGTGAATATTATCTGAAAAGTTTGAAATACAACATTCTATAGAATGCCAAATGAGAAACCGGCAAAGTATGAATCTCCTATTCGTTTCAAATGTAATTCAAAATGCCATGAATGCAAAAGTTGTATTTAAAATATACATCCGTCTGTTTGGTAAGCAAAAATATAAAATTACAGCTCACCAATTTTGTTGTAACAATATACTTTTAGTTGTAAATGTTATTTCCGAGAATTATTGCTTAGAAAAATGATTTATGTTCACTTGTAGTTGTAGATCTTAATAAGGGAAATTATTTGGATGTGGGAAGTGGTGGCTCAAGTGTTCGTTTTAGTACATATATTTTTCATTGTATAATTTCACCTGTTTTATGCCAAGAAACAGCAATTATTGCATAGGAATCATCGAGGTTAGTGAGTGTCAGCGAACCTAGTTATATATACAACTATAGTGAACTTAGATATTGTATATGTAAAAACAGATATTCAAAATAGTTGATAAGAGTAAAAACAGTGCCAGGTGTATAATTACGCTTAAAGAAAATTAAATTATATTTATGAAAAGTAACTTCTATAGAGTTTTGACTTAATTCATAGTTCGCTTGTTTTGTTTGATAATGTTCGCCTTTCATAAATCAATTAAATATTCCTCCTTGGTTAGAGAGTAATATTAAATTTAGAGGTAGAAATAAAAATTTTATTAAAAATTCACTAAACACTACCTGAGCAACAATAAATTCTGTTTAAATACAGGAGGAAACAGAGTAGTTAAATGGCGATTCATTAGAAACAGCGACGAGCTTCATCGGGTAACCAGACTGTTTTTGATGTTTCCATCTTGTTTTTCTCACTAAAATGTTGCTTAATCTAAATAACGTGAAGTCACCAGGAAGAACAACGTATGATAAATAAAATAAAAAAGTATTTTAGCTTGTGTCAGATTAGTTTCTTTGGATTATGCTCTGTTTAATCTTATAACGTAAAATCTCCGAGAAATGTTTGCATCAGAAAATAATAAATAGAAAAAATGGTAATGTTTTATCTTTATTAATTTTATTAAAATATACATTTCGGTTTAATGCATTACTTTTTTAGTATTAGTACCTATTCGTTATTTACTTTTTTTACGCTGTACGTAGGGTATTTAGCTAGCAATATATTAAAATTATGAATCTTGGAACTAAGGTTGGAAGCTAAGGTTTATTATTCCATCCATATTTATCAAGAATTATCATCCATTGAAATCATCAAAGAAAAATTGGTAACTCCAAAAAAAATAACTAATTGGCAGCGAAAAGAAGGATAGCTCATATAATAACGATATCTCAAAAAATCGATAAGTTTTCGCTGTAAAAA